GGCATTATCGCAGGCACCTGTAGTCCCAGCTACTCAGGAGGCTGAGGCAGGAGGAACTCGAGCCCAGGAATTTGAGGATGCTGTGAGCTGTGATGCCACAGCACTCTACCCAGGGCGATGGAGTGAGACTTTGTCTCAAAAAACAATGACATCAGGTATAGATGAGAGGTGCCATTTTTATTTATTTTTGAGAGTGTGAAACATTTATATTTAAAACTGTTTTTTGTGTTTTATGCTGCAGGTGGATAAGGGAGGTGTAACACCTTTGAAGTGCTGTTTAACGTGTTGGGCAGTGTGAACGGTGTTGACAAAACTAGACTTCTTTTCACGTTAATTTTAATGGAAGCTTTTGGGGTTGTGCTATAAGTTGTATATTTCTGGAGTAACCTTGTCATGAGTTAACACAGACCACCTGTACCAGTAATAGGTGCTGCCCAGCACAGGTGGGATGGGAAGACCCAGACTCTACCCTGGGAACAGTTGAAATGATGGCAGGCAGAGCCCAAAGAGAACAGTGTACCGACCGACCTTCATCCAGAAAGGAGGTCTGGGGCAGGCAAGGCCGGCTTCCTCAGGCGAGTTGGGCAGATTAGGGGAAGCAGGGAAAAGACACGCAGGACGGAGCCCTGCCCCAGGGGAGATGAACAGCAAAAACACGCAGATTGGGAGGCCCTGGAGCCACTACATCAGCCTGCTCCTGGTGGGCTGTCCTGAGTGTAGGTGTCAGAGCCAGGCTGTGCTGGGGACAGACTCCTCTAAGCCCAGCAGGGTCCTGAGCCCAGACCCACACTGCAGTGCTGTTTATGAGCTGCAGAGCATGGACACAGCTTCATTACTGGCGCCATAGCAGGAGCAGCACAGGCATCACCTGCAGGTGCTTCCCCCTGTCACGCTGAGGGGGCCTTGTCCTCACAGCCAGGAAGCTTCTGGAACACTTTGGTATCTGGGCACACATGGCAGCAAGGGAGTTTTGGAAATGTTGTAGAGCCAGCGGCTGCATGCAGGGAGGACGCTGGGTTTGTCACTACAGTGAGGAGAAGTGGCGGCTGAGGGACCAGAGGTGTCTATACTGCAGGGTGGATGAGAAGTGGGGGAGCTGGCAGCACTGCTCCTGTCTCTTCTGAGTCTTAAGGCATTTTTTGTTTTTTTTCTTGATTCTCCTGTAGCCTCGAGGACATGGCATAACATGATTTTGCTTTTTTAGCAAAGGTTCAGTATTTTGGTTAAACTTATTAATGGCATACTATAAGTTGAGCATCTTTTTTTTTTTTGTAATGGAGTAAAGCACCATAGTGTCATAGCAACCTCCAACTCTTGGGCTCAAGCAGTCCTCTTACCTCAGTTTTTCTATCTTAGTAGAGACAGGGGTCTCACTTTTGCTTAGGCTGGTCTCAAACTCATTAGCTCAAGCAATCCACCCGCCTCTGCCTTCCAGAGTGCTGGGATTACATGTGTGAGCCACTGTGCCTGGCCTTTTAAGGTTAGTCTTCAGGTCAAACCTTAAGTTTTGGTAAGTCCCAACCTTGAGAAGGGTGTGAAAGTCAGGACTTCTGAGCAAATCCAAGAAAAACAATTTCACTTCGTCTTCTAGGAGAGCAGAACCAGTTACATACAAAGATTTGCAGAAAAAGGTGGTCAGAACGCCTCTGAAAACCAGAGCTTTGCTGTGCAGTCCACATGTAAAAATTCTCAGCTCTCTGGTCAGTACCAAAAAGCCTCCCTTCTCTAAGCTGAAACACTGTCACCTGCTCAGGGGAAGCCTCACAGCCAATGAAGATGGTTTTCTTTTTATCTGTGGAAACGGAAATTAGCTTTGCATCCATGGGAGTGCAATGTACAATCCCTAAGGATACTCTAGGGGGCTTTGTTAGGTTCCAAGCTGGCTCAGAAATAGAAACCAACCAGGCAACTGCAGCCTTTGAGCTACTCCTAAGAGAAACAGGTCCTACCTGTGGGAAGTCTGGAATTTTCTTAAAACATTCTCAACATTCTATGATGTTCTTAAAAGTCAAAGAGCAATGCAGAGAGGTCAGGACTTGGAACAAGGTGAACCTAGGCCAGTCTTTTCTCCTCTCTGAGCCTCAGTTTCCACATGATGGGAGGTCTCAGGGTATGATGGTGAAGTCGTACTGCTGCCTTAGTGGGCTCCTAGGAACTGTGACACATTGGAACATTTTTTAACACCATTTAAAAAAATTAATTTGGCTTATATAAGTAATACATGTACACTGCAGAAAATTTGGAAAATAAAGTATAAAGAAGGAAATCACCTGTTACCCCACCACCCACAGCTGACTGCTGTTCTTTGGGGTTTTTTCCATACATACTCTGTGTGGGATCTCAGAGAACAGGCTGTTTTATAACCTGCCTTTGCACTTGAGCTTTTTCAGCACGTCACCATCTCACTAGATTCTTCACACCATTGTCATATCTGCATGGGACCCAGAGACATGTGGGGTTTTAGCCAAACCTTTATTTCTGCAAACAGTCCTTACCAGTTTTCCCTAAGTAATCACATAGTCTTCATTCTTTCTATAGGGCAGTGATACTCAGGGGCAGATACTCTATAGGGCAGATACTCAGAGGGAAGGGGGTGTGATGTTCCTAGGGGCACTTGGAAAGTAGTGCTGGCACAGAGTGGCTGCAGGCCAGGGATGCTGGGAGCCCTGCTGTGCCACGTTTCCTAGCCAGGACACGGCTGAATTCCAGGGAGGAAACCTTAGGTGGTGCTTGGTGCTGCCAGACTGCCTCACAGGGAGATTTATGCTCCACCCAAGGTGCTGCCAGCATCCTTACTGTCCCTAGATACTGGCCTTTGGTAGGGTGTAGTTTCTAGACTGTGTTTGACCATGATTTCAAGGAGAATTAAACTCACCCATTACAGTCTCTGGAATTCAGAGAAAGGAAGTTGTCTGGCCTGTGGTTGGAGAATCCGTGGAACTGGTGAGCACAGGCAGGCAGGACTGTCACTCCCCTACTGGGAGGTGGCATGGGTATGAAGCCCTGTCTGGTCCCAACAAGAACAGCAGGATAGTGTGGAAAATAAAAGTGAGGCAAAGGGAGGATGAGGAGGAGAAAACAAGGGACCCAGGAGAGCAGCAATGGCTCTGATCTAAGATAGCGCTGAGGCCCTGGAAGCTGGCTTTTCCCCACAGGCCCTGGGCAGCAGTGGCTGAGCTCACCTGACCTAGCAGGGTCAGGGCAGAGTGGGAGGGCCTGGGGGTGATGCACCTGTGGCTTTGACTCCAGGTGAGCCAGGCCCTTCTTATTCAGGCCTTCCTGGTCATGTGTTGAGAGGCCTGTGCAGAGGTTTCAGCTCACTTGACCACTTTGGTTCTCGGTTCTCGCAGAGTGCCCCAGCCTCAGAGTCCACAGTGAAAGGGGCAGCACTGAAACATTATCAAGAAGTGATAATGTAGGCCCCTTGGTGGCTGTGTCTACCTCGATGTACAGTGAGGTCCATGCTACCCAGGGACGGCTGGGCTCTGAGCTGGCTTCCCCCTGACCCCACAGTTGATGCTGAGGGGCCCTGAGCCAGCAGGAAGCCCTTTAGCCAGAACCAGCCACTCCTGGAGAGGAAGGGCACATGCTGCGTGGAAGGGGCGCAGTCGAGGAAACCCCCACCTCATTGCCGCAGGGAGCCTCATGTAGTGACACAGCAGGTCTGGATGGCTTGGCCAGCCATGTCCCCACTGGGACTGCTGCCCCTGCCTCGATGCCATAGGCCTCCCCTGTGCTCACCTAAGAAACTCAGCAGTTTCTCCTCAGTCACCAGGCATGGCAGCCTACAGCAGGGCTGCTGTACAAAAGGCTATGCCAGGAACTGGTCCCAGCCATGGGCGGGAAGGGGACTAAATCCAGGTCCCAAAGAACAGGATGTATGGACTTTTCAGCCTTCTGCACCAGGGTACCTGCCTCTTACTGTACCTAAACCACCCTCCAGGTCAGCACCATCCTTAGTGCCCCGGGACTCTGGGCCCAGCTTTCTCCTGGTCAAGGCTCCTAAGAGCCTTCCCCAACCTGGACACTGCCTGAATGGGGCCCGCAGACTGATGCCAAGATACACCTTCAACTCATGTCCCACCGCTGCCTCCCACCTGCTCTGCTGGCCTACATGTCGGTTCCAGCCTTTGCACAGTTTTTGTTGGGCAGGGATGCAGTGGGCTTGGAGTTAGGAGGGGAGGCCTACCCAGGGTAGTGCTTAGAGTAAGCATGTGCCCAGCCCCTGATTCCCAGGGATGGGGGAGGCCCTGGCCAGTAGGTGGCAGCACAAGCTGTGTCCTCAAGAGTTAGGAGCTGCGGGAGGGTGTGGAACAGAATTTCCAGGCCCTGGCTTGCTCTGCCCAACTGACCACTCACTCCCCAAGGCCTAGCTGAGCCCTTCAGGTTCATAACCATGGTAGAACCTGTGAAGCAGAGGTTGGATGGGGGTGGCACATGGAGGGTGTACGTACAGGGACCAGGGAGACTGCACCCGAAACAGCCCCATCCCTCCCCTACCAAGGCTGCAAGACAAGACCTGATGATGGCCCTTGAGGCTGCCTGGAAAGAGCTGGAGCTGGAGCTGGGCCTAGAAGCCAGTAAGGGGATGGTTCAGCCTGGGGATGGAGACCAGAAGGAAGTGGAACGGAGAGATTTAGGAGACAGTCAGGGAATGCTGAGGCCCAAGTTGATAATGGTGGAGAAACAGTTGTAAGGACACCAAAAACTATCATATAAAGTTTCTGGGCCTTAGCCTCCCAGTTGTCCATGCTTTCCCCACCCTGCATGATGGGACTGAGGAAAGTGCCAGACTCCACCCCCAGTTCCTCCTTCCCTTCCCTCTCATCAGCCCTGAGCAGAATGTTAAGAGGGGAGGTAGAGTAGGACAGGGCAGGTGCAGGGGAGTCCTGTCTTACAGAAAGTAGGCAGGATGGGCAGACCCAAGTCAGATCCCCCATGGCCTGGCTGCTGGCCCTTCTGGCCCACCCCTGGGGAGAGGAGGCACCACTCAGACACAGGGCAGGCCAAACCCTAGTTTATTTCGGCATCAGCAGTATCTTAGCCATCAAAAAAATAAACTCTACCAAGGGTGACAGAAGTCTCTACAGTGAGGCTAAGGGCTAGCCAGGCGGTGAAATTGGGAGGTGTGGTGGGCACTGCCCAGGCAATAAGTTAGGAAGCAGCGGGGCTGGCGGTGGGCAGGCCGGGCTTCACTTCTGGGCAGGCATGAGGTCATCAATGCCCTGGCCCTGCTCCAGCCGCTGTTCCATCTCGATAAGCAGCTTCACGCCATCTACTACCATCTGTACCAGCTCCACCTCCGAGAAGCCCAGGCGGTCTGCGTTGGAGACGTCAAAGACCCCACCCACAGCAGCCGTGTCCACACCACCTAGGGAGACAGCCAGCCAGACCATCAGGGCCAGAGGGAGGGAACAGGACTGGCCCTGGGGGAGGGGGGCACTCACCTGTGCCTCTCTTCTGAAGCCTCAGCCGCTTCAGAACCTCAGGGAACTTCTCATGCTTGCCCAGGTGGGGCAGCTTGATGTGGACACCTGCCCGCAGCCCTGTCCCCAGGTTGGACGGGCAGGTGAGGATGTAGCCCAGATGAGGATTCCACATGAACTCGTAGTTCTTGGACTTGAAGAGAGTTTCAATCTGGAGGAAGAGAAGAGGGATGAGAAGGAAAGCCTGCTTGACCCCTGCAAGGGACCAGCTAGGAAGGGGAAATTGAGACCCTAGGACATAGGGGCCCCTAACAGGACCCTAAGGCAACTGAGAGACCTGGGCTCCTGAGGGGGACAGATTGGGCACCCACATCCCTGCCTGGGCTCCAGGGTCTGGCCCCATCCTGCCCTGGCACCAAGGTAGGAGTAGCCAGGCCTGACCTGGGTAAGGCCGCTGCAGAAGCGGGTGAACACCTCCTTCATGTTGCCCCCCTTCTGCATGGAGATGACCCGCAGGTGGTCCTCCTCGTTGATCCACACCAGGAAGGTCTTATTGTCATTGTGCCTGGGGGGAAAGGCACCATCAAGCCATGATTCCTCCAGAAAAACTCTAGGGAACCCCTAGACTAAAGGAGCCTCACAAGTCCCTGAAGTGCTAGTCCACCTGTCCCTGAGAGCACAATCTGCTGCAAAGACCTCAGCCTAGCAGCACCTGCAGGAGGCAGGGAGATTAGGCCACTTCGCAGAGGGTACAAAGGGCCCAGACCCCAAGCTGCTGTGCCACCTGGGGTAGGGTGGGGCCAGAGCACCACCTATGGGGTAAGGGGCTGGGGCACCAGGGTAAGCTTTGGGCGTTAAGACCGCCCTGACTCCCCTTGGGGAAGCTCCTGCGTCACCCAGTATCTGGCAGGCTCCCAACAGGGGACAGGATAATAAAGAAAAAAAACAAGAAGCTCCAGCTCCCAAGAGTGAAGGAGGGAGCAAATGGGACCGTCGTCACCTCGGAGATCTCAGGAGGTTGAGGCCTCCTCAAGGAGCTCTTATTGTACTTGCTCCACCAAGGTTACCTGAGTCACCTGCATAGGACTGGGCGGCACGGGACCAGAGCCAGGCCCCGGGCGGCCCCACCCGCGCGATAAAGGGAAGGGGCGGGGAACCACACACCAAATGCCGCGGGCGTCGGGCCAGTCGCGGGCCATGCCCGAGGCCAGCAGCAGGGGAGACACCGGCTTGTCGAAAAGGAAGTGGTCATCAATGAGTTGCTGCTGCTCCGCCTCGGTCATGCTCTTGAGTGCGTAGTACCTGCCCGCCAGGTCGCCGTCCAGGCTGGACAGGGCTGCAGGAGGCACGCTCAGACGTCCGGGCCGGCTCAGAGGCTCGGCCCGCCCTCCAGCCCCGCGCCCGCTCCTGGGGGATGTCAGAGCCCTGGCCCACCTAGCTTTGGGGAAGTCTGGTCCAGGCGCTGACCCCAGGCCTGCCCCGCCGTCCCCGGCCCCCGGGCCGCAGTGGGCGCCGAGCTGGGCCGCGGTCCTTTCGGGAAACCGAACCGGGCGCGCGCAGATAAGAGCGCGGCCGCAGCGGCTCGGATGACCGATAAACAAGGCTGGCGGGGACCGGCGGGCCCGGGGACGGGCGCCCCGGCCGAGCCGCGACCCCTCGACCTACCTTCCACCGCCAGCTTCTCGATGGCGCGGCGCTCCCCGCGGCTGCAGTGCGGGGGAAGGCAGAAGCCGCGAATGCTGCGGCCGGTGCGCACCCGCGAGCTCAGCACGTAGTTTGGGTCCAGGTCGTCGCCGCCCTAGGGGCACCGGGGAGTGAGCCTCAGGGCCCCCAGCCAGCCCGCCCGGCCACCCGGCCGCCCCGCACCTGCAAGTTGTCGGGGTTGAGGTCGGTCTTGTGCTCGTCGCAGGGCTTGTAGCCTCCGTGCCGATCCTCGATGATGGGGTCGAAGAGATCCTTGAACACGTCGTACGACTCCTCGTCACCCGCCACGCAGCCTACGGTCATGATGAACGGGTGGCCTGGGGGGGGAGGCGCAGAACGGGGACAGTGACGTCACCGCAGGCCCGCGGCGGCCCCCGCCGCGCGTGGGAAGGGCCCGGCCCGGAGAGCGGGGCGCGTTACCAGGGTTGTCCACGCCGGTCTGGATGACGTCGTCCACTGTGAAGCCGCTCGGCGTGCTCTTGGCGCGCAGCTCGCAGTACAGCTCGGGGGTCAGCACCTTGGCCATGTGGTTGTTGTGGCCGCTGAGGTCGGGGAACTCGTCCTCCGCCGGGAAGCGCAGCTTGAGCGCGTTGTGGCTGTTGGAGAAGGGCATGGCGGCGGCGGGCTGCCGGGAGACGCGGGGTCAGCGGGGACCAGCGAAGCGGGCCTCGCCGGGCCTGCAAATCATCCCCGACCTCGGCGCCCCCGGGACGTGGCAAGGTCAGCACGGGCCGCTGCGCGGGCCAGGGACGCCTGCACCGCCCAAGACCCCCGACCGGTCCGGCTCGCGCTCCAGATGACGCGACCCAAGCGTGTGTGGTTGCGGCCCCCGCGGCCCGTCCGCGTGCAATGACCCCTGCCCAGCAGCCCCCCGACCCCCGAGCCCACTCACCGGGCAGCCAAGCTAGGGCAGGGGCGCTCCGCTGATGCACAACTCGGGCGCGGCGCAGGCGGACAGCAGCGGGTCCGCGCTCCCGCGGCTCTTAAGGGGCGCAGTGCGGGCCGCCCATTGGCCGATATTTATAGCCCATTCATTCCATTGGGCGGCGCTGCGGGGTGGTGCCGCTGCTTTGTCCGCCGCCTGCAGCCCCTAGAAACCCCCCGCCCGCCCACTCGAGCCATGCCCTAGCTGGGACTCTGTGCACCCTCCTGGCGCCCGCCCATGACCCCGAAGCCAAAACCCCAGGTCATTGGACATCCTGATCCTCCTCACACACACGGCCCGCGGGCGGGAAACTGAGGCCAAACAGCCTCCAGGCACTTGAGGACGCTCTGGTTCGTCCGCATCTGGCTCCTGCATTCACGAGTCCCGCCAGTCCCCAGGGTGGCGGCTAGGGGCCGAGAGACTGCGGCTGGGGCTTCCGCGCAGGTACTGCCATAGCCCACCTGGCCGGTCCAGCTGGACAAGAGCCAATGACCTTCCTCAAGGTGCCCGCGGGCATCTCCTGGGCGATCTTGGTGCAGAGGGAAGGCGTGTGGGAAGCGCAGTCTGGCTGTGGCCCAGCCTGGCGGCACCCGGGATACCTTAACCTTGGGCGAGTCTCGGGGCTCCAGGGTATCCAAGCTGAGCTGGAGACCCTGGGGCCCAGCCTCTTCTGGTAGACACAGGGACACTCTGGCTCTGAGAGGCCGCTAGCAAGTGCCCAGTCGCAGTTTCCAGACACCAACCCTGGACTCTCTTCTCCAGGGACAGGTTAGTACCATCCACCCCCAAAGACAGTCTCCAGAGACACGAGGAGAGATGGAGAGAAACGCTAATAATCAATAGCAGATGTGAAGTTTAAAAGCTCATCTTACTAATAATCAGAATCATGCAAATTAAGATAACAATTGACTACACCTTCCCTACCCCCAACACTCTGGCTGGCAAAAATTGTAGAAGATTGACACCAGACACTGTTGGTGTGGAGAGAGGGACCCACAAACCCTACATCCTGTGTAGAAAGGATGGACTTGGCAGCATCTATTAAAATTGAAAATGTTCCAACTCCATGACCAAGCACCCCACTTCTAGGAATTCAGTCTGTAGAAAGCAGTCTCAGGCTTGGCGCCTGTGGCTCAAGCAGCTAAGGAGCCAGCCACATACACCTAAGGTGGCGGGTTCAAATCTAGCCCAGGCCCGCCAAACAACAATGACGGCTGCAACCAAAAAATAGCCTGGCGTGTGACAGGTGCCTGTGGTCCCAGCTACTTGGGAGGCTAAGGCAGTAGACTCACTTGAGCCCAGGAGTTGGAGGTTGCTGTGAGCTGTGATGCCACAGCACTCTACCCAGGAGGAAAGCTTGAGGCTCTGTCTCAAAAAAAAAAAAAAAGAAAGAAAGAAAGAAAGAAAGCAGTCTCAGTTCTCTATGCAAGTAGACCAAAAGATGTGTCAGGTGAAAAACAGATCTGAATACGACCCTATGCTTGTCACTGGAGCACCGGCCAAGGGTAGGAGGCATCTCCCTACTATGGAATATTATACAGGTGTTAAAAAGAGGGAGGTGCCTGGGAAAAGAGTGTCACTTGAGCCCAAGAGTTCAAGACCAGCCTGGGCAGCATAGCAAGATCCCATCGCTACAAAATAAAAATAAATTTAACAAAAAAGCAGGAGTAGTGGGGCGGTGCCTGTGGCTCAAAGGAGTAGGGTGCTGGCCCCACATACCGGATTTGGTGGGTTCAAACCCAGCCCCTGCCAACAAACTGCAAAAAAAAAAAAGCAGGAGTAGTGCTTGCTTCAGCAGCACATATACTAAAATTGGAACAATACAGAGAAGATTAGCATGGCCCCTACATAAGAATGACATGCAACTTCGTGAAGCGTTCCATATTTTTGCTTGTCCCTACACACATACACCAAAAAATAGCCAGAGTAGTGTGTGGTTAGTGTCTACCAGTGACCAGTCACATGTTTCTCCATGAATGAAGCAAGGAAAGGGGAACTCTTCTGTGTGTATATTTGACAAGATATCTCCAGTGATAAGTACCAGCCTAGGGATATAGCAGGCAGCAGGGTGCACTTTGCCCTGGCCAGGAGCAAGCAGCCTAGCAACCATATAGCATCAGGAAGTAAGTGCCGGCCAGGCGCAGTGGCTCACGCCTATAATCCCAGCACTTTGGGAGGCCAAGGCAGGCGGACTGCTTGAGTTCACAGGTTTGAGACCACCCTGAGCCAGGGTGAGACCCCAGTCTCTACCAAAAATACAAAAACCTGAGGCAAGAGGATTGCTTGAGCCAAAGAATTAGAGGTTGCTGTGAGCTATGATGTTGCCATGCCAAGGCACTCTACCCAGGGCAAAAGCTTGAGACTTTGTCTCAAAAAAAAGAAAAGAAGGAAGTAAGTGCTGCTGGGAACTGGGCAGGGAATTTAAGGGATCCCACACAGGTACATCTAAGGAGAGGGTGCTGGAGCCGAGACTCAAAGGACAGGAAAACCCTTTGCTGTACCTGTGTGAACCTCAAGGATACAGAGTCCCCATGCTTACTGCAGAGGGGACTCTTGCCTCTTCCCACCCCCTCATCTTGGCTTGCTTTGAGACTTTTTTTTTTTTTTTAGACCGTCTCACTCAGTTCCCATGGTGTAGAGTGTCATAGCTCACAGCACTCTTGGGCTCAAGTGATTCTCCTGCCTCAACCTCTTGAGTAGCTGGGACTACAAGCACCCACCACAACATCCAGCTATTTTTAGAGACAGGATCTTGCTTTTGCTCAGGCTGGTCTTGAACTCCTGAGCTCAAGCCTTAGCCTCCCAGAGTGCTAGGATTACAGGTGTGAACCACGTGGCCTGGCCTCCATTTTTTCGACCATTAAACAAACGAATATAAAAAGGCAAATGGCCCTGTGGACTGTTGAGACAGCAAGTGTCCCTTAAGCCTGGAATTCTTGGACTTTATGTCCCCTATAGCCCCTTTCCCCAATTTTAGAAATATCAGCAGCTGCCCACCCCACCCTCTACCCCCAAAGCCTGAAGGGCTCAAGTTTCCATTTCTAGAGAGGGGAGCTGCTGTCCCTGGAGGCAGACTTGGCTTCCAGACGTGGGGGTGGGGAGGTATGCAGAACTTCCTTTTTTGTCTTCAGTCACAAAGCTTCTCAAAAGACACCTCTCCCCTCCTCCAGCCTCCCAGCTGAGGCTTGACCTGCTTCCCCAGGTTCCCCCAAGGGAAAGCACCCCCATCCCTGCTCCCTCCACAGGCAAGGTGAGCTCCTGAGGGCAGGGCTGCAGGAATGCCTGCTGTGAGCACCTGCCAAGGTTCTAGGACTGGGGGACGCTCCTGCCTGGGGTCCCAGTGATCTTCAGCCTTCCAAGATGGGTATTTCTGTACCCACTTCGCAGATGAGCAAAGGAAGATCAGAAGCTAGAGAAAGAAGTGTTTGGTCACAGGGCCACCAACCCCTCCATGGTCCCAGAGCACCCAGCCCTGTGCTACACTGACCAGGGCTGCCCTTGAGACACTGACTGGCAGTGGAGGATGGTCGGGCAGCTAGGATGGGGATGAGGGCAGCAGCAGTGGGGAACAAGAAAAGACCCTTCAAGGCCTCTATAGCCCGATGTCAGCTGAGGTTCCCACCAGCCAGGGGCTGCTAGGGTCCCCAGAGCAAGGGAGCTGGGGGAAGGGCCTGGAGGGTGCCGGCCTGGCCTCCCTCTGGGGAGCACTACCTCTGGCTGACCTAGCTCTGTGGCCTCTCTCCTTTCCCCAGGGCCTTCAGGACCCAGTTTGGCAGTGTCTGGGCAAGAAGCAGGTGACATCATGGAGCCAGTCTATAGTCCAGGTTTCTCAGAAATCACACCTGGTTACATAGTAACCATCAGGCCAGGCCTTTTATACACAGAGCCTTGCAGAAGAGGCACAGAAACAGGCTGCATGAGTAGAGGTGGGTGAGGTGGGAGGGCAGGGCCAGGCTCCAGACAGGGCACCAGGAGCCTTGTGGAGTCTGTGCCCAGAGTGTGACTGGGGCAGCATTACTTCCTCCTGGTACCCTTGACCCTGAGCTCTGCAGAACTCAAAGGGGAAGTGAGCTGGTGTCAGGAAAAGAAACAGGGCCTGCCTTGGAGTCACAGAGCACAGTGGGGTAGAAGGCTGTGCCAGCCGCAGAAGAGGGGACTTTGGTCACCCAGTCCCTGAAGTGGGCATCCTTAGTTTCTCCCTCTCCCCCAGGGCCTACTTTTTGCCTGTTCCCATCTTTCTTCGAATTGGCCATTGCTTCTCCAAAGCCAAGTTTACTGGCTTTAAATCACAATCCCACTTGGACCTCATTAGCTGTGTGATCTTAGGCAAGTTCTTTAAGCTCTCTGAGTCTCAGTTTCCACATCTATAAAATAGTTCCTTCTTCACAGGTTTGTGGGAGAATTCAATTAAATGACACTTAGCTGGACAGCCGTTCTCGTTAGGGAAGTCTCAATAAACAAACTCCCCTGGGAAGGGGCCTACCCTGGGTAATCAGTTGAGGCCTGGGGGAGGCTAGTACTGCTTGAGGACTCAAGCTGAGGGCTGGGGCAGACTCAGGAAAGCAAATGGGCAGTGCTGGGAAGGCTGTCTGGAGAAGCATTGGAGGAGCTGGCTAGCCAGTGATGGACAGGGAGCTAAGCAGGAAGTTGGGACCAAGGGAAACCACCACCAAGTCCCTAAGTCCTAATTTAGGCTCTTAGTAGACATCTGATCCTGTTTCCATACTGAAGCAGAGAGGCTGAGGAAGAGGAACCTCCAAGAAGAAGTGGAAAGTTGAAATTGCCCAGGAGGTCAATTAGGGGTGATTCAAGTGGGTGCATCATCCAGGCAGTGAAGCCCGTGGTTGGAACAGAGTTTGGGAGTCAGGGGTGGGGCTGGGTTGTCTCAGTGTTAAGAGCAGAAGGCAGGGAGGCCATAATGCAGCTGTATAGGCAGATGGTGGCCAGAGCAATGGCCCCACAGGGCAATGAGTCCACTCCACAGATGCCACCAAAGGCCTCTCATCTCTTAAGTCATGGACTGAGTTCAGGCACCAGTGTTTCCATGATGGACCTAGAGGGACCCATGGCAAGGGCCATAGATACCTTGGCCTAGCCTGGCCCTAAAGGAGGAAGAGCTGGCTCTACAGTGGCTTGGCTGTCCCTATTTACCAGGCTGGAGTCACCTGGGGTCTGGGACGTGTGCCCTAAGTTTAAGCCCACACTAAGACCTGAGCTGAACCCTAAGCTGGGAGATTCTCAATTTCCCACCAGTCCTCAGGGCAAACAGGACAGGCCCAATCCTGGGAGCTAAGGACTAGAGAAAGACAATCCAGGTCCTCTGTCTTCTGCACTCACACTCTGACTTGGGTCTTTTTTTTTTTGCTTGTACAAGTCTTTATTGGTGGGGGAGGAAGGCTGCAGAGTAGCACCAAGGAGGAGAGATAAGAGAAAAGGGGAGAGAATAGGGGGGAGAGAGATAAGGAGAGAGTGGGGAAGAGAAGAGAGAGAGAGAGCAGAGGAGAAAGGCGGGGAGAAGAGAGAGCTCTGACTTGGGTCTTTTCCTTTGCCAGAAGCTCTGGTGCTTTATTACTCCTTCTGTATTCCTTTCTGTCTAATAAAATCCTACCTTACCACTGATCTATGGTCTGTGGGTTCATTCTTTGAATCCCCTAATCCTGCAGACCAAGAACCTACTGAAGAAAGAAATTCTGGTAACACCACTTCCACTTCCCTTTTCTACTCTGTCCTGTAGCTGCCCTCCCCCAATCCCCAGCTCAGGCTCTTTGCTTGTCCTTATCCATATCTCACTGTGCCTTGGGTCCCAGGAGGGGGACACAAGACCCCTCTTCCCTCCTTGAAGCAGCTCTGCACTCAGAAAAATGTGCCCCTGTTGGAGGCAGGGGCTACAGACCCTAATCCAGGTGACCATTTCCTGTGCCTCTGGCTGATTTTAACATCTTGGGACGACTTGCCAGTCCATTTTCTGACATTCATCCTGGGGCCCTCGCAGGGGTGTTCCCAGAGCACGTTGCGAGGACAAAATGTCCACAGCACAGTATCCTGGCAGAGGATTGGGCACCTAGCCGTGGGCCGGCCACCTGTGGATTCCTGGGCGCCAGAGAGGCCCTTTGTTAATCGTGTGTTCAGAGAAAATCTAAAAGGATTGCAGTAACCTCAGCCGGGGCCGTCGCGGCTGATGGGACAGGAAGACTTATTCTGTCTCCTGACTTCTCTTGCAATGAGCAAGTACACACAAAGGGACTCGGGTCAGGGAAGAAGCCGACCACGGAACGACCTCCGGAGGGCACGCGAAGGGCAGCCGGCGTTCCCAGGATCCCGCGCGCTGCGGGGCTGGGTGCCGCGTGACGTCATCAGCTGGCGCGGGGCCGGAAGTGCTGTGGCCGCTGCTACGCGTCGCTGAAGCACGTGTGGAGTCCTGGGAGCGTCGCGGGTGAGACAACGCGGGGTCCGTGGTGGCAGTGCGTGGGTTCGGGTTGCCCGGGCAGACCCTGCGCTGCCCCTCCTCCCTCGCGTGGCCGCCCCATGCCTCTGCCACCCCGGCCTGGCCTCTTCCTGCCTCTGCACTGGCTGGGCGGCTGTTGCTGTTTACGGCCTGCTCCGTGTCCCCAATTCTTGCTTGGGGAGCCCTTGACTCTCTTGCATACTTCCTCTTCCGACCAGAATCCCGCTTGGGGGAGATTATGGGGACAGGGTTCTGCGGATGAAACCTGGCGTAGAGATGACCTCACAGACCAGTGAGACAGCCCCCAAAAGCCGTTTTCTCTTCTCACATTTGATGAATGGGGGCAAGGCTCCGAATCGGGTCCTGTATGGGAATCCCTGGGTCCGACCTTCGCCATTGCCAAGCCTTACTCTCTTCATCTCTGATTTCACCTCATAGCCCTGTCTCGTCTTAGACCAAGAAAGGCTTCAAGTGTCAGACCTGACTTCAATGCAGGCCTATTGGGCCACCCTGTCAGACTGTGCGGGGGGGGGGGGGGGGGGGCTGAGCTAGCCACACCCCCACATTCCTCACTGCTCAGAATTTGGGCCAACACAGCTTTTTTTCCACACCCCAGGTTCACATTCTACCTCTTGGCCGCCTGGCCTACTGCTCATGCACACACGTACCCTTCCTCAGGTCCCTGGCACTAGCCAGACACCAGCACCATGAGCTTCGTGGCATATGAAGAGCTGATTAAGGAAGGTGACACAGCTATCCTGTCACTGGGTCATGGTGCGATGTTGGCAGTGCGTGTGCAGCGTGGAGCACAGACCCAGACCAGGCATGGTGTTCTGCGGCACTCAGTTGACCTCATTGGCCGTCCCTTTGGCTCCAAGGTGACTTGCGGCCGTGGTGGCTGGGTGTACGTGTTACACCCCACACCTGAGCTCTGGACGCTCAACCTGCCGCACCGCACGCAGATCCTGTACTCCACTGACATTGCTCTTCTCACCATGATGCTGGAACTTCGTCCTGGCTCTGTGGTCTGCGAATCTGGTGAGTTCCTTGGGCCACCTCAGTTCTAACTGAGAAATCAATATGAAGGTGGAGGTCAAAATGACATCCAGGCAGCTCCCAGCCCACCCTTCCTGCAGATAGGCGTGGCTAATCAGTTTCTGTTTTCACAGCTTCCTTTTGGGGGCTGACTGCAGGGAGTGAGGGTGGAGGCAGGGGAGCCTGTTAGGAGGCTGGGGCTGTAATCTGAGAGAGAGGTGTTGGGACTGGACTCAGGTGGCCAAGGAGGAGGTGGTGCCCCAGCAGGATCCTGCCTCCCTTGCAGTGTGGGGCTAGAGTGTTGCTTGGTGCTGACCACAGTGCTGATGGCTAGTTCCTAGTCCCTGTGCTGAGGAGGGCAAGAGAGGTATCCCTTTCTGGAGGGAGTTCAGGGGTACTCCTAGGGGCTCATCGTAGGCAGGGAACCTGCCCCATTATTATCCATGGCCACATTCTCACCTACCACCAATGAATGTGAGCTCCATTGTTGCTGAGCCATGGATCTGTGGTGTGGGTACTACCCTGCCACACACACACACACACAATCACACACACACACACACACAAACACAGATACTGGGGGTGAACTTGACTGAAGTCAAGATGGTTCTAGCCCAAAGTGAGCCCAGATGGTGGCATGTTCTTCATGGGCCAGGGAGCTGTAGGCTATAAAGAGTCCTAGCACTGCTGCTGTTGACTTTCTGAGGGTCCCTGGAGGGTGGGCAGTGGAGAGTGGGATTCAGCCAGCTCCAGCAGCTCCTTGTGCTTCCTGTGGCAAACATGCTGGCCTCTCACAGGCCTCTCTCCACTGGTGTGAAGAGAGATCAGTCAGTCACTCCTCTCCTGGGCTCCTCTGAGGTGCCAGGTTCCCACTCTCCCGGGAGAGCACAGACAGGAAGCCCAGGGGACCAGCTCAGTGGTGCTGACTGCAGTGAAGCTTGTGGGCCTTGGCTGCGTGTTTGAGGGTGACTCAGAGTGGCGTCTCTGCAGGTAGGGAGTCAGGGAGGACTGTCTGAAGAAGAGATGTGAGTTGAAAGGAGAAAGTGCCTAACAAGAGCCCAGGGAGAACTGTGTAAAGGCCCTGAGGTGGGGCCGTGCCATGGGGCTGGAGTGGTGGGTGGGAGAGGAAACAAGGGTGCCCTCAGAGGGTTCCCAGGAGTATGACTCTCCTTCAGTGGGACCGGCCAGGCTGTGCAGAGGGGAGTGTCACCATCTGACCAAGGCCGGAAAGAAAGCCATGGCTGTAGAGGAACAAGATCAAAAGTGACCAGTGTAGTGACTGTCATGAGAGCCCTAGAGAAGAGCTGAGCAGGTGTGGTGGGTAGGTGGGAGGAGGGTCGGCAGGATGTGAGATGGAGGTGTTGAAGGCGCCTCTGTGGAGTCTGGCCAAGCATTGGGTGTCCTCAACTGGCTCTGGCACACCCCGGCAGGGTGCAGATTCAGGCTTGTTGGTGCTGAGCGCCGTTTGAGTGTTGAGGGGGAGGTGGCAAGTGTGCAGTGGGTGCTGTGGTAGAGTCTGGGGTGGAGGCACGTGGCATTGGCAGTCGTCAGGCAGCTGGCGTTAGAAGCTGTGGGGTGGGGGCCATAGGCTCAGGTCTGAGTCTTGCAAAACAGGAAGTCGAAGCTAAGGTGGGAAATGGGGAAGGGTCCTGTGAGATGGGGGCAGAGTATGGTCTGTATGATGGGGATGGGCTGCCTTACGGGGGAGGCACTTTCTGGGAGGCAATGGGATGAGGGATGGGACAGACCCAGCTTCATTGTCCCTTTGGGGAAGACTTGCTGTGAGGCCCCTAGCCGGGCTTCCCCTCAGCCCCTTTACATGCTGCACCAGGCTGGGATTGGGTGGGTGGCTTTTGTCCTGCCCTTCCCGGGAGCCTGGATGCAGCCTCAGCCTCCCCAGCCCAGGGCTTGGGACAGCTAGGGCCACAGGTGGCCCAAGGACTGATACCTATATATGGCCTGGGGTCAGCTGCCCTCCCAGGTCCTTTGCAGGTCTCTCCAGGGTAGGGAGGGGTTTGCTTCCTGGGTGGCTGTGGTCCCTGAGCAGTCCGCCTGATGCCTGCCTGTCTCATTCTGTAGGCACCGGCAGTGGCTCTGTGTCCCACGCCATCATCCGCACCATTGCTCCCACGGGCCACCTGCACACAGTAGAGTTCCATCAGCAGCGGGCAGAGAAGGCTCGGGAGGAGTTCCAGGAGCATCGAGTGGGCCGCTGGGTTACCGTGCACACCCAGGATGTGTGCCGCAGTGGCTTCGGTGTGAACCATGAGGCAGATGCCGTCTTCCTGGACATCCCGTCACCTTGGGAGGCTGTGGGCCATGCCTGGGATGCCCTCAAGGTTGAAGGTGTGTGGGGGTTCCAGAAGGATCCAGCCCTAGGGGCTTGGGGCTTGGCTACAGAGAAGTTCTGAGGCTTCCTGGCTACACGGCAGAATGGCCAGGCCTGGCCAGGGCCCCTTTGTGGCCTGTGGTGAGGAATGGTTGGGTTGGCTAGGGAGGTAGGGTTAGGGGGATGGGGCTGGCCTGGCCTGCTTCTAGCTCTGCTGTGGTCCCTGCTAACTAAGGCAGGAGGGGTCTGAGGTCCCTGGGGAATGTGCCCCCCTCCCCCCCCCCAGTGCAGAGTGCAAAGTAGGCCCAGGGCAGAGGTTGGAGGGCATGGGCAGCCGCTGTCCCCAGCTGTTTCCTGCAGTCTCCTCCTCCCCCCCAGCTCACAGCCCAGGGAGCCAGCCCCTTTTAGGGAAGATGCTGGGAGTGGGGGTGGAGCAGCCTGTGGAAGGTCGGGCCCCAAGCCAGGGAGGCGCTCCTGAGGCACAGGGTTTTTCCTTTTCTGGAGAAGGAGCAGGCCGATGGGGAGGGCTCCTCCCAGCTGAGAGTTGCAGTGTGGGGGGGAGGCAGGATGAGGGCCCTGGGGAGGGCCAAGGCCTGGCTTAGATAGCAAGGCAGTGACTGGGGGGTCCCTGACTGCTGGCTTAGGCTCTGCTGGACTCTGCTGAGGCGGCCTTGGCCTGAGGAAGGGACAGCCACTGGAGTCCCCACACCTACACCCCCTGCAGCTTTGCCTCTGTATACGTGTGGGTTCTAGCTTTCTGGGGACCCTGGTGGGTTCAGGGCCTGAACCCCTGCAGAATCCCACTCGGCCTCCCTCCTGCTGCAGTGACTCTTGCTCAGTGGCTCCAGGGGATGCATCCATCTGTTGTTTCCTTCTTATGTCCCTGTAAACTCTCCTCTGGGCCCTTTTCCTGGATCTGATTCCAGAGGGTTCTGACTTATCCTGGCCTGGTGTTTTCTTTTCTTTCTTTCTTTCTTTTTTTTTTTTTTTTTGAGACAGAGTCTTACTTTCTTGCCCCTGGTAAAGTGCTGTGGCGTCATAGCTCACAGCAAGCTCAAACTCAGGCTCAAGTGATCCTCTTGCCTCAGC